TAGAGGTAGTTGGATTTTGAAAATTTACAAATCTAAGCATGATTAACTGTTCCAAATGCCTTATATCCATCAGAGATAGATCTCAGTCATTCAACTGTGTGACATTTAGCACTTCTTACAGTATTCAAAATCATTTTGGTCAATAATCTGCTATGTTTTAAGGATCTGATTTCTTTTTTTTGATACTGGGGATCGAACTCGGGGCTTTGCGTTTGTGAGGCAGGCAGTGGAACCACTGAGCTAAATCCTTGGCTTAAGGATCTGATTTCTGTTTCACCTGCCAAACAATGTCTCCATGTTGTTTGGTGTTTTTATTTGTGTTCTGGATCAATGTTCTACTGTGATGCCATGAATCTTCTATGATTTAGGAAAATGAAGAAAATTCCTGTTAAAATGTAGGTCCTTTTCTTGGATCATCTCCTGAATGCTAGCTTCTGTCTTGCCAAAAACAAAATTACGTCTGTGTGTTCAACAGCATGCCAATATTTTCCTCACCATACACAATGTTTTTTTGCACCATTAGTAACATTTTCAAATCAGATTTGAAATTTGAATATTTAGCATTACCACTGATGCTTATTTCAGATTCTTCAAGCTTCCTAAAAAAATGTGCTAAATCCTCCCACTTTGCATTTCCCCCTCCTTTTCCAGTTGTTTTTCCATCCACAGAGGCTGGCAAAGTGCAGAAGTTTGATAAAGTAACCAGAATCCAGAGATTGGCTCTCCCACTGCTTGGCGAACATCAAGGCCAGTCATAATTTCAAAAGCTTCTAATTGCGTTGTCTTTTTGTAAGGTAAAAATTTTCAACCAGAGAATGCAGTTGTTTCATATTCGAACTATGTGACCATGTACTCGCATTTTTTCATTTTAAAAATCCAGTTTTAAAAAAATTTATTGATTATATATGACCATGGAATTCACGTTCTGCTCACATTTCTGTGACACATTCACTGAAACCAACACCTCTGAGCTCTGTTTCTGTTTCCTTTTCATTATTCCATGTCCCCCCCACAAATTTATTTAACATTTTGAATATTTCACTTTTTCTCTTTGTGGCATTTCATTTTCTGTTTCTGGTTCAATATTTTTTCTTTTCAATATCCTGGGATGACTAACGTGTTAGCTTGTTGAATATTAGAATTTATAACTTAAAAAAAATAATGTGTAGGGCCAGGGATTTAGCTCCGTGGCACCATGCCCGCCTCACAAGTGCAGCCAGTACCAAAATAATAAGAAGAAGGAGGAGGAGGAGGAGAAGAAGGCGGAGAAGAAGAAGTAGTTATAAACCAGGCATGGTGGAGGATACCAGTAATCTCAGTACTCTGAGAGGCTGAGACAGGAGGATCTCAAGCTCAAGCCCATCCTTGAGCAGTTTAGCAACTTAGCGAGACCCTGACTCAAGATTAAAAAAAAAGGAACTGAGAAAAAGGCTCAGTGTAAAGGCCCTGGGTTCAGTCCCCAGTACTGAAACACACACACACACACACACACACACACACACACACACACACACACACTTTTGGTGTCACCAATTAAACAAAAATGTTTAAAAAAAAAAACCCAAACCCTCAAAATAATGCCCTATAATGTCAAGCAGCCTGTGTAGGAAAGGGACAGCGGGCTCAGATTGTGACCTTCGTGGTCCTCGGCTGTGACCTTGAGCCACCCGCCCCATGGCTGCGGGTGAGGGTGAGCGAGAGCTGGGCATGGAGCGCAGCGGGCATTTCTGTCGGCCCCTCCTTTCCGCAGAAGCCCAGGCTGCTTTCCAGTCCCGCGGAGCCACCGGGCTGGGACCCACAAGCGCGCCCGGAAGTCAGCCTCCTGGGACTCGCAGTTTCTGTTGAGAAAGGAAAATTTGCAGTAACCACCGAGAGCGAGAGCGTGTCCTTCCCAGAACCTCGCCTGGGTGCCGCCCCTGCCGCTGATGCCATCGCTCTGTGGCCCTGGGAAGGAGTGGAGCCATTTGTCCCAGCAAACCGGGCAGGGAAGCTGAGTCAGGAGCGTCTCAGGCCACAAAGGACAGATGTCTAGAGAGCAGGTGCCTGGCCACACTGTCTTTCCAGGCCGGGCCCCTCCGTCCCTCCCCTCGCCCCAGGTGTGTGCCGCCCACCCGTCCCTCACCTGCAGTGCAGACGTTCGCAGGAGGCCCAGCTGCCGCTTCCCTGGGGTGTTCGCAGCACAGCACAGCACAGCACGCTCCTCTGCCTTTCCACGCTGTCGCCCAAGCTGGAAAGGACTCGCCCCTCGCTCCGATCTAAGAGCCCTCTTCCTGTTCCCTGTCACCCACCCTTGCTTCTCCCTGCTGTGTTGGGGTGGACAGGGCCCAAGTCGGCTTGTCAGCCCTCCCAGCCTGCCTCCCACGCCGGGCACAGACCATGTTCAAGCCGGTTTGGCTGGACTGAACTTTTCCCTTTGGTTTTAGAGTTAGGATTAGTCGGTGGTACTTCTTATTGTAGGTGCATATTTTGAGAGAGGATCTCGTTAAGTCACTAAGTTGCCTAGGCTGGGCTCAAACCTGCAACCTTCCTGCCTCAGCCTCCTAGTTGCATTTTCAGGTGTGTGCTGCCTCCTTTGATTTTTTAATATCTATCCCACCCTTGGTGTAGATACAGGTTCTTGTTTCCTTGAGGTGGAAGTTTAAAAATAAAAATGATTACGTGTTCGTAACATGTCTAACTTCCACAAAGTTGTGTACACATTTCCGCATGCTTCAGTGATATGTTGTGTTGCTTGGACTGAATGTGCCTTTAGCCAAGTGAGTGAAAACACTTCGGTGGAGCCTTCAGAGCCTGGTAGCCAGTGAGGAGGCAGCCGGGCAGTGGACCTTGGATGGCAGCAGGCGCTGGTCAGCTGCGGCTCGGGGTTCCTCCTCCAGGCTCCGCCTCAGGCCCTGAGCTCCGCCCCTCCGTTGCCTGGCCCCCTGGCGGTTTTGAGCTCTGCTTTTCAGGGCTGATTATTCTGCGGTTAAGGTCTTGTTTTCAGAGAAAAAGGATTATTGAGAAACCAAACAGCTACTGTTTAAGTGGGTTATATCTATTTATAGACCATATTAGAAATAAAAACTGAGGAATTTAAAAAATATTTAGTAAATCCGTTTGAAAAAAAAGCAATAGCTGGGCAAGGTGGCACCTGCCTGTAATCCCAGTGGATTGGGAGGGTGAAGCAGAAGGGTCACGAGTTCAAGGCCAGCCTGAGCAACTTAGCAAGGCCTTGTTTCGAAAAAAAGAGCTGGGTGTAGTTCAGCGGTAGAGTGCGTCTGAGTGTGATTCCTAGTACCACAGAAAAGTGGCAGTACCACTTTTCCTAGTACCATTCCATCTTAGCATATTTCACGAAAATGGCTATATTTCGTAAAACATAAAAAAGTTCATGTGGTGAGAAGCCCCAGTCGACATTTTTGCAAGTCTTACTGTTAATGTCAAGCTCGATCAAAGAAAGCTGGATTCTCAGGTCTGTGTTGGTATTCAGTCCCTTTCTCTACCAGGTTGGACAGGGTTAAGGAAACTCCGCTGTATACTCGAGAGAGAGACTCAGCGAAAAAAGTAACTGGTATTTGGCTTTTATTTTGTTTTGTTTTTTGAGACAGGGTCTTGCTATGTGGTTCAGGCTGGCCTTGATCTCACCATGTAGCCCAGGTTGGTCTCGAACTCACAGTGACTTTCCTGGCTCAGCCTCCTACGTGGTGGGATTACAGATGTGTGCCACGGTACCTGGCACAAATCTTCATGCTTTGATGAGCATTTTGATTTTTAGAAACAGCCACGGACCAGTCAATCTGGCTTATAATATGGGTTATCGAGTTGGATAACCGTACATATTGGATTTTTAAAAAGTAACACCAACTTCCTAAAATATGAATTGCAAATCTACTTTAAGACCATTCCCCCATCTGACACGTGTTCACACATGTGTGAAATGATACTTGTACAAGTTTTACAATTGCCCATCATCTGAAGAATGATAATCGGAAACAGTCTGAGTGTGCGTTGCTAGGAAACCAATTAAAGTCACCAGTGGGCATCTGTACCTCAGGTCACGCTGCCGCTGGAAAAAACAGGAAGAGAAGGTTCTGTACATATCAATAGCGATCAGCTCCAAGATACGGTAAAGAAGTGAGGCGGAGAACACTGTGTATCATGTGGTATCACCTGCAGGAAAATGTTTAAAGTGGGGGCACCAGTGCGCCTGAACCAGTAGCTCACCACGCCTCCTGTCTTTCAGTCTTAAGTTATATTAGTGTTGCTTGATGAAACCGGAACTTTAAATGCCCCAAACTGAAGACTTGCCTTCTTCTCGCTGGGCCTCGTTCCTCTTCTCATTCTGCCGTGTTTTGCAAATGGAGAAACCAAGTCCAAGCGAGGTGGAGAGACCCGTCCACGTCTCCCGGGCTCTGGGTCCAGCCCCGGCTTTCTGCCAGGACGTGGGGGGAGCAGAGGTCTTTTGTGCACCCCTCTCCACCTCACCCCTAAGCGGGCACAGAGGCCTGGCAGGGTGAGTGCCCAACGGTGGCTGGGAAGAGTCCCTGCCCCACCCTCCTCTCCTCCTCCCGGGGCCTCCACGTCCTCCTGCAGTCCCAGGTGCTCTGCCCTGGTCCTGAAATCACCACCGCACACTTCACGCATCACCTGCTTTAGCACAGTGATCGAAGGTGTTTCGAACAAGTTCTCCTTCAAAGGGTAAAGGCTGGGCATCCCCTGAGATGTCTGGGGTGCCGGCACCCCAAAGTTCCGGCACACATGGGGTGATCATAGGCCACTATGAGTCATTTTGGGGTCATTCACTCACTCATTGATTGATTGACTTAGTGACTCATTCAACCAACAAATTATTTTAAACTCCTTCATTGTATGAAGCTCTGCTCTGGGCACGGGGGATACAGTGAGGGCCAGAGGGAGCAGGTGTCTGCTCTGAAGGCCGGTCTGAAGATGCCTGTCAGAGAGAGGCACAATCTCACACTTTGGGGTCCCCTACCATGGTGAGTTTTCCACTCGCCCCTCAGGTTCCCATGAGGAGGAAGAGATGAGGTGGAGAAGTGGAGGCATCAGCGGCCAGGGGCCCCGAGTCCGCCTCTGCTGAATACCTCTGAGAATCTGCTTCCAGCTGAAGGGCGCCACTTGCCCCCAAACCCCCTGGACGTCCTTGGGTGAGATGGGTTGGACCAATCACAGCTTTCAGGACTTGGGAGCCAGCAGTGCCTCCCCAGAGAGCCTCAGTCAGGTGCTCCCAGCAGGTAAGGACAGCAGAAAAACCCCCAGAGCAAAATGATTGTCGCTTACTGTTCAACAGCAGGCTGAGCATTCGGCTCTTTAAAACAAAGCGAAACAAAACAGAACTCTGTGAGGTAGGTGTTCTTATGTCCACTTCACAGGTGAAGAGAGTGAGGCTCAGAGAGGGTGCGTCTGTCCCGAGATCACACAGACAGGCTGCTGGATGTGAGCTCATGTCCACGCAAGCTCTGTCCACCCAGCCCTCTCTCCCCTGCCTCCCAGGGAGCTGCTTCCCTTCTGTCCTGGGTGGCCACCCTCATGCTGCCTGCTCCCCATGGTGGACAGGCATGCCCAGCCCCGCCCGCCTCGCCAGCCAGTGACTCACAGCCCCTGTCCTTGTCTGGGTCATGTGTTCTGTTCCCTACCTCACTTCTCTGCCATTGAAACCCGTGACTCAGTGCCTCATACTGGGTGACTCGCATTCAGTGACAGGCACAGGGGAGATCTGGCTTCCAAAATCCCCTGTGACAGGGGCCGCTGAAGGTCTAGCAGAAGGGGCCATGGGCAGAAAGAGGAACTGAGCTGTCCAGGAGCTGGCGCGTGACTCCACCTGGCTCGGTGCTCCAAGAAACCCCGATTCCTAGAGCCCACGACCTGAGAACAGATTGCCATAGCGATGCGATGGGTCCCTTCCACCATCCTAGCAGCAGTCTCTGCCTCAGAGCGTCTGTGTAGCCACCTCCCCGGACGCGTGGCCAGAGTTGCCACCAGCCAGGACGGCAGTCATCAGCTCCACTTAAGGGAGGGGGCAACAGGCAGGGCCTGAGTGCTGGTGGAGAGAGCTCTGGGTTTGGACTGTGGGCCTGGCTGTGGCGTTTATCTCTGGCAAGTGCCTTCCCCTGAGTCTCCTCACCTCAGTGATCTGTGATTCCTGCTAAGATTCCTGGCCTGGAGAAGGGATGGGCTGGGATGGGCTGGGATGGGCTGGGATGGGCTGGGAT